GCTCGTCCCCGCCAGAGAATCTGCTTCCAGCTCCCTCCTGTGGTTGCTGGGAGGCCTCTACTGTCCACCGGCAGTTGCCCAAAGGTCTTACTTTCCCTGACACTCGGCTGCTCCCCACATGCAGCTGCTTCCCCCCAAGTGAGGCAGAGAGAACATCCAAGATGAAAGCTGAAGTCACTTTGTAAACTAACCTCGAAAGTGACACGCCACCACCATGGGTCACAAAGAGCAACGCTGGGACAATGAGAGGGATCCAGGGCTGTGGGGCGTGAACACCAGGAGGCATCTTAGAGGGTGGCTACGCAGGTCTTTCATCAAGAACTGGGCTGTAGGATGGGGTGGGCTCAGAGCCAGCCCAGGTGTCCTGACTCCTCCCCTGCTGGTGAAAGTCAGGAGACCCCATACTCTGAGCGGGAGCTGAAACCCATGGGCCCCTCCGGTAGGAAATGCTAACTCCGGCCGCAGGCCCGTTTCAGCTCTCCGGAAACATGGTGGAAAGGGCAGGGATAATTCTGGCTGTGTCACTCCTCCAGGCCCAGCTTGCGTTGTCACTAAAACTCCCAGTTGAGGAATTGCGCTGGCATTTCCTCCAGCTGCCGATGTCTAGATGTCAACAGTTTACCCGTGTCTTCCTTAGTTATAGCCAGTATGGTTCACACCTGTCAACGAGACCACAATCCACTTTTTTTTAACGTTTTTTTAAACAGGCATATTTTTTCTTTTTCAAAATTTTTTCATATGTTTAAAAAAATGTTTTAATTGATTTTGGAGAGAGGAAGGGAAAGGGGGAGAGAGAGATAGAAACATCAATGATGAGAGAGTCACCTATCAGCTGCCTCCTGCACGCCCCCAACTGGGGATCGAGCCCGAAACCCGGGCATGTGCCCTGACCGGGAATCGAACAGTGATCTCCTGGATCCTAGGTCAATGCTCAACCGCTGAACCACGCCAGCGGGGCTCACTTGGTTTTTTAACCCAAGAAAAATAGCATATTAAGTAACCACACATCATAGAACATCATCAGTCATTAGTTTATTTTACTTTTCTCAGATGTATTACTCCCAGCTGATTACGAATCTGGCTATAAATGGGAGCTGAACTGAGGTAATGTTTCCACTTCTACAACGTGTATCTGAAAGATTAGATAAACATAGATGCAGATAGCAAACCATGCTATTAAATGTTTCGATTGGGAATGAGTATTCTGAGGACGAAAGAGTAACAAAGTATAGCAGCCCAGGGTAAAACTCAGGACTCGCTCCGCCCCCACCCGGGCTCAGCTGTGATACGGGCCGCTCGCCTCCTCCCGGGGGAAGTGTTTCATTCCTGGAAACTTGTGCACAGCTGATGGCGGTCAACTGTAAGAGGCGCCCTCCCCGGCCCAGAGGCTGGTTGGCGTGGACGAAAGGGCCATGTCCACGTGTCCACAGGGGGACTTGAATCCCGAATCTCGGGTGCACACGTGCTAGGGAAACAGTCCCGGGAGGTTTTCGTGCTTCAGCGACTCCGCCGAGGCCCTGCTGTCCCTGCTGGAGGCCAGAGCCCCGGCTGGGGGGCTCCCCAGCCGAGCGGTCAGTGGGCTGGCCCCACAAGCCCGCCCGGGGCCCCCTGCGCGGGAGGCGGTGGCAGCGCCTGAGGAGGGGCCATCTCTGGGTTTTAAGTCAGCGTCACTGCAGCCGGGTGTATATTCTAACTGACATTTTCCGACTAAGGGAAATCGTCACTCTAGGGGGAAGGTAGGAACAAATATGTTTGATGTTCAAAGACACAAAAAGGGTGAAAGGAACCCAGGTCAAAGACAAAGAAAACTCAAAAAGAAAACAGTTTCTTTAGAAATAAAAATAGTTTAATCTGCATTAAGTGTAACAACACGCAGCCTATGAGCTCGCAGAAGCACAGCTTAAAAATGCAAGTGTCAGGAACTAGAATTCCAAAAATAACTTTTTATTACACGTGCGACTGAGATGATGCCACAGGATAGGAAATGTCAGGTTACAAGTTTACTTACACGCTCTTTGCTCTACATTTGGGCTTTTACCTAAAATTTGATGAAAGGAACATTTCATTAAAACGAATTCAAATTCGACAGGTCCTAAGGGCAGGGAAACTGGCGGTGAGCGGCCTCCTCTGGGCTGGGCAGCAGGGTGACCGGCGGAGTCTCCTCTTCAGCCCCGCGCCCGCGAGGAAGCGGCTCAGGAGGCGCCCGGCCGCCAGGAGGCGCGGCCCGGGGCGGAACTAAGATCTACGGCCCTTGCTGCCTTGAAAGAAAACGAGGTGGAAAAGCATAGAACATGTTACAATTAGAACCTGACGGTGGGTAAGCAAGGTGGTCTTAACTACTTCAAACAGCTTCTAGTTCCATATTCTTTTTAAAAGTAAAATTTCATTTATTCAAGTTCTAATCAGCTTGGTATATTATTTTGTGTTTTGTTAAAATCCTGGAAAAACTAAGAAAGGGCTCCTAATGGCCCTGGCCGGTTGGCTTCGCTGGTGGGAGCCCCGTCCTTCACCCCGAGAGGGGGCGGTTCGATCCCGGGTCAGGGCCCACATCTAGGTGGCAGGTTCGGTCCCCGGTAGCGGGCGTGCAGGGGGGCAGCTGATTGATGTTTCTCTCTCTCGTCGTCTCTCTCCAATCAATAAAAACATATCCTCAGGTGAGGATTTAAAAAGGGGGGCTGCTAATAGAGCGCTAGTGCACACAGGGCTATAAAGCACACCTGGCCTCAGGAAACTGAGGACTTCAGCTCATGATGGATAAACAAGTGACTGCTGGTCACACTCCGCGGGCAGGTTCAGAATATTCCATGTGCTTTAAAAGTCCCGCGGCCTTCGCTTTACAATATTATGTAATTCACGTTTATGCCCATTTTGGTTGGTCTACACTCCATTTAGGTCAAGTCACTGACATTTTTTTTGACTTTTAAAGAGTCGTTCTAATTGTCTGCAAATAACTGTTCTTATTTTCGGCTAACCCTTTGTTCCTATCAATTCTTTACTCTCTTCCTGCCTCACGGGGACTGGGAACTGGGGATGGAGCTCATCCTGCCATCCCCAAGTCCACATCAGAAAGTGCTCTGCTCCAAGTGCAGAGCACGGGACACCCTTGCTCCGAAGCCCCTCGAGGCCGCAGGGCCTGTGATCACCAAGGCTGGGCTTCCCTAGTACTGCCACCCAAACAGCTTTGGCCAGGCGGGTGACAAGTGTGGGTTTCTAGCAGTTATTCTAGACGACTCCTACTAAACTCTTTCTTAAAATGGTGAGAAATGTTTTCAACAACTGGCTTAAAATGTGACTCCAAAAACTGATTTCCCACGTACCTTCCTTTAAACGGGGTTCTCTGAAGCTCGCTCTATCGCGGGGGCGGCATGTTCCCCCTAGGCACAAGAGGGTTTAAAATTACAACAGATTTTAAATTCTCCCTCTAGTTAACCTGCCTCGACCAAGGATTCTCAACCTTTTGGAAGTGACGAGCCACTAGGAGTCAGTCCATCCAGGGCGGGCTCGCTGTTCCAGAGGAATTTCTTTCTGGTTTTCGTTTGCACGATGCTGGTCTATGCTTACAATTCGGAGGTAGGGAGGAGGAGGGGGCACCACAACCTGGAGATTAAAATGCAATCATTTCATTTAGCCCACCCGTCAGCCCCCCAAGCGAAATGTCTCCTCGCCGGAGACGTCTCTTCCCTCCTGCCAAGCGCCAGCCTGCATCTGGAAGGGCAGGTGGGAATCCAGAGCCCTTTGCCCAGTTAATTTGATTGCACTTTCCCTGTTATGGGCGCATTCCCTCCACACCCTTACCCACCAAGGAGGGGAACAGCGCCCCCTACTGGTCTTTCCCTGGGAGGTATGTGGATCTGCTCAGTTAGCCAGGAGCTCAGGGATTTTTCAGCTCCGGGTACTTCTAACAGGCTGAGAATTCCTGGTATTACCAATATTATGTACTCTCAAAACTACTTAAGTTTAATGCTTTAGCCAGAAGAAGAAAGGTCTCAACTTCATTCAAAACATGTTTTCTAATGGTATTTGCAAGAAAAAAATGATTACAAATATATTTTACCGCAGCACCATAACATGCTGATAATCTAGAGCCCTCAATTTAAGCTGAGAATTTTAGCAAATAAGGTCCTGAGATTATTTGGCTGGGCAATCAAAAGTACCCCGGCCGCTACACAAAACCTCGTGTCAGTAAAACACAACACAAAAGCAAATGTCCCCATCAACAACGAGGGTGTTGGCTTAGTTCTGATGCTTAAATCTCCCCAGGCTGGAGAGCTGATCCTGGAACATTAGCACCGTGAAAGGATCAGCCAAGGGGCGCAGTGGCTCCCTCCGTTTCCAGTCTCTCACCTGCAAGGCCCCGCCCCTCGCTCCAGGGGACCTGCCTGGCGCAGTGTCATCCTACAGACACAGACTACCTGGCTTGCAGTGAGGATGAGGTGATTTATCCAACATGGCAAAGCTCTAAATGGTGCAGAACCTGAAGGACTAGCAGGATCAGAGCGCCGGGTTCTTTTCTACCATTTTCACCCAGGTTAAAGCAGTTCTGCACATGTGAGAACCTGGAGCTATGCATTATACCTAGACACACGCGCGCACACACCCATGCACACACACGTGCACACAGACGCGCACACACGCAGATTCAGTGGGATTACGACAGTGTGACTCAGCGGCCCGCCTGGTCTGATTTCTGTAACAGTAAGAAAGGAAACTTTTCCAGAATGTACATGGAATCTCCCAGGACCCAGACAACCTACTCCTTGCAGCTACAAAAAGCACAGCAGGGAGCTGGGCCGTGGCATGGGGGCTGCACAGAACCTCCATCAGGCCCTGGGTGCTGAGCGCCAAGCCCTCACACAGGGGTGTGGGGGCGGCTCAGAGCTCTGCCAGCCGGGTGGCTGCTCCCTGAACCTGAACATCCCTAACAGACTTTAGACACATAAAAAAACAAGCACACAAAATGTGACTCATAACCGTCGTGAATAAAAACCCATGAGTCAGAATGGCATGCAACTTTTTATTTTTTCTAAATCTTCTTGTACACGTAACACCACAGTATTAACTTCACAAACAGTATAAATATCTATCGTGACATTAAGCTGCACCTACTCAGCTGAAAAAGAACGTGTTTCCTCTGAAGTAATTACTAATTATAAAACATTACAAGCTAATAAACACCATAAATACTAAAACATTAACATTTCAATACATAATGTCAATAACATCCTGCCTTTTTAATTGGTTAAACACTTGTCAGGGTCACGCAAAATGAAGGCTCTATGACAGTTAGATTACACTCAAACATCACGGCAGTGACACTCCAAAGAGCAACTACTTAGTGCAATGACTGGTCAAGTTAATAATTTACTCAGCACATTAATAAAACCCACTACGTGAACACACCACAATGAAACACTAGAGTCAGTTAATCGCCCGTCTACGTCTTACACCTAACGTCCCATCTGACTGAGGACATGCTGCCAGAACTAATTCTACGTAGTCAGAAATCCCAACGCACACAACGGGCTCAGTCCCGGCCCACGGAATCCTTCAACGTGGCCATTCTAGCTCCGCCGACAACAGTGGGCAGTCATGCCAGCCACACCTTCTCTACCCTTGCTGTGCTGTGTTTTTAAACTTTTTAAAAAAGCTTCCCTTCTATGACCCCGGAATTAACAGGCTGCCTCAGGAAGGTGAAGCTGGTCAGCTGCCCTGTACGGAAGGCAAAGGTTAGCTTCCTCCTGATCCATCACTGGCCTTGCTGATGTAGTTATTTCCTTACTCTCTCGCCCATAAATATTCATTAGAGCCTATTACCAATGTAACAGGTAATCAGCCTATTCCGATTCTCCTGAGAAAGAAATTCGGTTTTTTCTCTCATGGCCAGACTCACTGAGAAAGGCAGAGCACACAATTTAAAAGTGACAGAGCAGACCAGGTGAGTTCTCAGGCAGGCAGATGGCGCCTGAAGCCCGGTGTGTAACCGGAGAGAGGAGCGTCCAGGTGGGGGGAGGTTAGGACCTGCCCTGCAGGCCTCTCCCTGCAGCTCACCTGGCCCAGCCACTGGGAGCTACTGTCTCACGTTCTTATCAATTTTTAAAGCCTCTTTATCACATATTTTCTACTTAAAATCAGAAACCCTTTGATAAGCAATCTGACTATTCACACAGTGGAGCACTGGCTCTCAGCCTACCTGGGGTCTGGGCTACTCCACCACCTGTCAGCTCTCATACCCTAGAGAGCGAAATGCTTCTGGTCCATCTAAGACTGAGCCTCCCCTCCTCTCTGATGAGCACATTCTACAAAAGGGGTCTAGAAGTGTTCATTTTTCTCCGGCAAATTAAACCCTTTGTATGTAATAAAACATCTGACTGGTCTTTATATTCAGATCTTGTCTCAAAAATGTTTATGGAGTATGTGCCAATGGAGGCCAGAATACCGAGTGCGAAGGTCCTAATTACAGACGGTGGAGGCCGAGTGAGCACCAGCCTCTCCAACACCGCCTCCGGTGTGCCGTGTCCTTACCACAGGCCCCCCACCCACTACTCAGTGGGAAGGACACGCAGAAGGCGGCGTGCATGGGTGGGTTCCCCATAAAACTCGGTCAGCTCCATCGCGGGCTCCAGTGGTGCGACCCCACTTGGCGCATTTTCCTACAGGATGCTTTCTCTCTCTTCCCCGAAGCCTGTGCTATCGGGAGAGGCCACTGCGAGGAGCTCCGAGGAGTCCTTCGAGAGCCGTGTGTAGCTCGAACGCTGGCTTCGCTTGTGCGCCACGCTCTTCAGGTTTTCATTCTGAAGGGCGGCGGAGCTGGCACTGGGCGCTGGCCTCAGGATGACCTGGGCGGTATCCCGGGTGCCCTCCCTTTCGTCGAAGCTCTGATGGGCCCTGTTGGCGGGCGCGCTGTTGTTGTTGAGGGTCACGGTGCTGGGCGTGCGGTTGAGGTTGTAGGCCTTCTGGCAGGCCGGCCAGCTCTCCTCGGGGCTGCTGGCTATCAGGCTGCACTCAGACGGGCTCTTCTTGTCTTCGGAACAAATGGACATCCGCGCCACAATCGGGTCCTGCAGGCCACTCAGGCTGTGCGGCAGGCCCCGAGTCCCGCGGTGGCCGTCGTCCTCGAGCTCTATGAGGTTGGCCTTCTCGAGCTGGGCGTCGTCAGCGGCCTCGTTGTGGAGCGAGTGGTTGGGGGAGCTCTCGCTGGACCGCACCCCCGAATCGGAGGAGTCCTTCTTGTCGAGCAGGGCGTCTGACAGGTACTCCTTGGCTTTGAGGAAGGTCCGGATGGGCTCGGCGCTGTGCTCGGGGGACCGCGCTCGCTCTGCTTTGCCGTCACCTTTCTGGTCCCTGTCCCTGAGCAGGGGCGTGTTGTCCGACTCCTCTGTCCCAGACTCGTCCTCATCACTGGGGAGCTTCTGGTAGCGCAGGCCTCCCCCCTTGAGCTTCAGGTCCGTCTGGAAGAGACTCGGCCTCTCCGAGGGCTTCCTGCCCAGGAGGAGCTTACTGGCTGACTGGTCGGATTTCTCGTCTTCCTCGGTGATCGGATCCAGGGGGGAGGCATCGCTGGTGGAGACCCCGGGCGAGGAGAAGTCTATGACATCCCCCCTCTTCATTAGAAACGGCTTCCTCCCGTCGTCTGGCTTTGGCTCGCCCTCCTTCGCCTTCTCTGGCTCCAGGTTAGAGTGAATGGAGCCCCCCGAGGAGCTCTGCCCCATGTAGTATGTGCTGTGCGGGGAGGACCTGCCACTGATGGTGGCGGAGCCCGGGCCCCCTTCTAACTGCGACATCTGCGCAATGTACTCTCTATAGGCGTCTCTGTACTCGGCCTGCACCTTATCAGTCAGCTTGGAGATTTCGATGCTGGAGTCCTGGGAGTTGAGGCTCGAAAGACTGGGGGTTCTGCGAGTTTGCGACTGGGAGGGCAGAGAAAAAGTAATTTAAGAATTCAAGTAACAAGAAAAAAAAGGTGCAGTAAACAGCCTAGGAAACAGATGTGTACAGAGAAACCTTAAAGTCCTCAGCACCAAGTTCTTTTAAAAGAATTCTGTGTCACACAATTTAACAAAAGCTGTGCACTGTGGGTAATTCTCCTGTTAAGTGAAAGCTTTATACAAATTTTAATGAAATTAGTTTAGTATTTAAAAGCATAATTAAAGGTTGCATTAACAATCTTAGCACTTATTTTTATGACTTCAATTTTTAAACTTTTATTTAAGGGAAAAGTCGACTTCATTGATAAAATGTAAAAATTCCCCTTAGAAAAGAGAAGATTGGAGTTAAGATATACCTCAAAAACAAAATACATCTTCAATGTGTGTTAAAAAGAACCTTTCTCAACTTTAAGACATAACATTCTGTCAAGTTTCAATTCAGTAAGAAAATGTATTTAAAATGCAAAAAGAAGGATTTAAGAGGAATAGAGCAGGGACTGGAGAACCACGGAAAAGACAAACACAGGAGCCACACTAATAGCAGAAATGAAGCCATGAGGCCGCAGTCAGGCCCTGTACACGGAGAAGGGAGATGTTTGTAAGAGACTGATTTCAAATGTGAAGTTTTGTTTATTTATTTATATTATTTTTAAAATCCTCACCCAAGGACATGCTTTCACTGATTTCAGAGAGAGAGCAAAGGGGGTGGGGAGAGAGAGACAGAAACATGGGTGTGAAGGTGAGAGGAACACGGATCGGTTGCCTCCCTTACGAGCCCTGACCAAGGATCGAACCTGCAACCTGGGCATGTGCCGGGACCAGGACCGGAAGCCATGACCTCTTGGTCCACAGGATGACACCCAACCAACTGAGCCACACTGGCCAGGGCTCCAGTGTAAAGTTTTAGGATTAGAATTGCTTTTGATCTCAGAAAAGCTAATAAGTGAGGAGTGGAAAGCACAGAAAGGAAAAGAGGAGGGACATGGAAGAGAAAGAACTGAGGAAGCTGCTTCTGTTAAGTGGGGCGTTAAAGAGACTCACAAACACACACTATCATTTTCACTCAGTTGTGCTTTGTTTTGGAAAATGTCATTTTTCATACAAATGTCAACATAGGATAGGTTTATTTTTAAATAAATAAATATTTTTAAGGTTTCTAATAGTAAACACTGACATATAACTTGTATGAACAAAAGCTCTTTAGGGTCTTGAGTAATTTTTAAGACTGTGAACGGATTCTGAGGTTTTCCCTTTTAGGACTCTGGAAGCTGCTGCATGAATGGGAGGCCCATGAGTGCCCAGCTCCTAGCAGGAGATGCCCAGTGTGGAGAGGCAGAGAGAGGGCCCGGAGGAGAGAGACAGAGACAGAGGGCAAGTGTGGGCCTGTCACACTGTGAAACCAGGGAATCTTTATCTTGGTCAATACCGAACAGAAGAACGGCTTCCAGCCGAAATAAAGTAGATGGTGTGTAGGAAAAGACAGTAGTGAGGGAAAGAACACTGTTACTACCAACTAAACAAACCACCCTTTAGAAGGGTGGGCCTACCAGGTACCGCGTTTCCTAACCACTGCTCCCTTCCACTAGTTTTTCTGTAGCTGTTTCGTGTCCCCCATGGTCCTCCCTCTTCTGTCCCTGCCGCTTTCCTGGTTTATTTTTCTTCTTAGTTTTCCCTTATGCTTTCTCATGGTCTCTCAGCTTTGTTTTTACTCCTGATCACCACCTGTCCTCCCTCTTCTGAGAGCCGCATCTATACCATCAGATAGTAAGAAGACCGCAAACACCATCAGCAGTGTACCGTGCACTGAAAAGCCAGGTCATGGTGCTCGAAGAGGTGAGATGTGGCAGGTTTCCCAGGAAGATGTAGTTGAACTGTGACTCATGAATTCAGCAGGAAAATAGGTCAAAGACTGAACGCTGCTAACACCTGAACTAAAGCAGCCCAGTCCGTGCACTTGATGCCATTACCTTGTTTGGTGCTTTTATAGTTCTTACCAGTTCCTAAAGTAACCTGCTTCTCCTTACAGCTCCTTGAGAACAGGGAGCCCTTCGTCTCGGGTGCTCAGGTACTCAGTGCGTTGTTTCTGAGTGACGATATCAATGCCCCGACAGACCCTGATAAACTAAGCCCTGCCCTGACCCGTCAGTAACAGGAAAAGTGACCCTGACTAGCTACCTGCCAGCTCAGGTTGCTGTGCCGTGGGGCACCCTCGTCGAGGCCGAGCGTGTTGAGCTCCTCGAAGCTGAAGTTGAGCGTGTAGGGAGTCTGGCTGGAGAGCTCGGTGTGGGGCAGCTCGTTGTGCGAAGACCGCCGAGCAGGCTCGCCCTGGGGGACGGGCCCGCTGCTGTTCTCACTGAGTAATCGGGGCTCTTCAGGCACCACCTGGTTTTCTGCGTTTCTCATTTCCAGCACCTTCACAGAGGAAAAAATACCATTTATAGCCACACTGACAAGTCACATTTTAGAAGCGTTAGAAATTAAGAACAAAACATCATGACGAAATCATAATGGAAAGGAGAGAGCAGACCTCCTGTGAGTTCCTCCTGAGTTTGTACTATTACTGTATCTGCTCATCTTTCGTTTAATATAAAAGTAGTAATGGCAACATCACATGAACGTTATACTCTCATCTCACCATTATGCTATTATTTTAGTTTAAAATTATCTTAAGAACAAAACCATGCACCTGGCGTATGTTGAGAAAGCCAGGGCTGGGCAGCAGTGAGTGCAGTGAAAGGAGGCCATCATCGGGACGGAGACCCCAGGGAGAACTGGGCTCATCTCCCAGCGACATGGACAAGGGGGACCTACAGCAAGGAGCAGGGTGGTCAGTATAAGGGAAATTGCTAAGAGGAAACCAGACCCTGGCTGAGCCCTGGGAGGGACTCTTACTGGGGGCAGGCAGGGTGATCAGGCATCACCTGGGGGACAGTGGGGAATGAGGCACTGGATCCGATCCCAAGGGTGATCGGACACTGAGTATGTGTGGAGGGTCCTTCCTAACGAGACCTAACAGGGTTCTTGCTGTCCCTGGGCCATGCAGGCCTGACAGAGACAGACACCAAGGCTAAGGCCTAATGGAACACACGAGGGATGGACAGACATGGGAAATGCATCTTTACGTGCTTTATAAACATACAGAATATATCAGTTTAGACCAATACCTACTAGCACTTGTTTCACACCATGTTATAAATATAAAATATCTTACTGTGCTTCTAAAAAGATGCCAGTCTCCAAAATTCATATTCATTTCTTTCTTCAGCTCCTCGATGTTGCACTGAGCCAGCACACGGCCATTGATGTTTGCCTGGATGACACAGACAATGGGAAAGGCGTGGGACATGTTCTGAATTACTAGGGATTAAAAGTGCATTTACATATGCAGCTATAAGAAAGTCATCAGAGACTAGAAAAGATTGGCCTAAGAAGGTCACCGTCCCGTTTAACAATGCAGCAAACACGCTGAACCTGAACAGCATAAGCAGCTATATCTCCAAGTGCCTGAGCGCTCAAGTCAGTGCCTGTTCAGGGGCCACCGGGAGCCAGCATCTCAACCATTTCCAGCACTTCCTCCCTGCCCGGAGCAGCAGCAAATGGCTCATTTTCTCCTCCAGTCTTGTAAAATATGAACATGAGCACAAGCTGCTGGGAGGGGACAACGGTGCCTGAGGGTGTGTTGGCCCTGACGAAGCTCTAGATGAAGGAGGGGCTGTCAAACCTGTTCATCAGCTACAGTAGGTAACTTCAGACATAAAGGAAGCCCACCCACTACCTCCCATCTATTAAGCTCACAGAAATGATCGCATCATTAGTTCTCTGTAATTCTAGTCTCCCCCACATAAGAAACAATGACATTTTCCTTAATAACAGGTAGCCTGCGGACGTTCAAAATGCACCACCTGGTGTGAGTGGCCGTGGTGACATGATGGACAGCCCACGCTTAGAACTGTAGCTGATCATGTCAAACGGGACCTGATCCGAAGTCCTGCAGGACGTGGAATGAGAATGTGGGGACAGTGAGGCAAAGGTGGCTGTGGCTGACTCTGGCAACTGTTAAGTCACAAGTAACGATTCAGTGAAAGGAAATGCAGCGTCAAAGGCCCGCAAGTGCTCTATGCTGCGTGTTGGAAACAGCAGTTGCTGCTGATGGAGCTGTGAAGCCCCTCAGAGCTCTGCACCCTTCGCCAGGCCTCTTGCTCACTTCAGGTCATTTTACAGTGACGCTGCAAACAGCTGTCAGCCTCATTTCCATCCACAAACTAAGGGGTGACTGGCAGCGAGGACACCAACAGTAAGACGGTGCTTCCGTTCAGAACCCCGTGTCCCCAGAGAGCCCCAGCTGGCTGCACAGGGCCTCTCGGCCCGCGGCCCAGCCAGCAGGCGCAGGCGCCTCACCTTCTTGATGGTGGCGCAGTACTGCGGCAGCAAGCTCTGCTCCAGCCCTTCGACCTGCTTCAGCCGCTCGCACACCGCGTCCACGGTCATCGAGTTCAGTGGCACCGCGCCGGAGGCTGGGCCCGGCCCCTGGGACACGCAGGGAGAACACACGTGTGAGCAGCACACAATGTCGGACAGGCGCAGTCCTGTGGCCAGAGCGCCCTCGCAACTGCGCTGTGAGGCAGCCGACGGCCAACAGTCTCACCCACAGCACACGCAGCGCGCAGCTCGGGAGGGGCGCCAGCCAGCAGCTGCTCTACCAGACACGGCCTGGCCAAGCAGCTAGAACATTCCACAAACCACGCCCTGGCTACCTGATTAAATGTTCAAAGCCCAACCTCCAGAGAGAAGGGTGCAGCCCTTAGTGACAGAGGACGGTTTTTATAGAAGTAAAAATAAAAAAAGGAACAAGGGCAATTACTGATGCCTGGGTATGAAACACGGAAGGTGAGCCTGTGGGGTGACTTAACAAGTACCCACATGGCTTTACATGTCTCTACAGCGAACTTGGTCTCCGACAGCTGAGGGTTCAGAACCTGATCATATTTTATATCCACGGGACCTAAACTTGCCCTCAAGAACCCATACGACAACCATGTAAATACTCAACAGGATTTCTTCTTAACACAAGTTGACAAGTACGAGACAGGCCCATGAAAGTCTGGATATTACATTGTAACAAACACATTTATTCACAGTTGGTTTTTAATTAAGTTTAAATTTAAAATATGCCACATATTATATAGTCTAAGGTTCGATTGCTTCAAAAATACTAACAGCAAAACACGAGTGTTTCGATAATTTAGTCTTCTTGTCTCTACACAGGCTCACTCTCAGCCTGGATGCATACGGCCAATATTCAGTGCTAACTGTCCACTATCTACTGTGGAAATTTAAAATGTTTTCTATAAATTTTTTAATTTATTGGGGTAACATTGGTTAATAACATTATATAAATTCCAGATGTATAACTTCACAGTAAGACATCTGTATGCTCTATCATGTGCTCATCCCTGAAGCCCAGGCTCCTTCCATCGTCATGTCTTCGACCCCCTTTACGCTCTTGGCACTCCCCTTCCCCTCTGGCAACCACCATTCTGTGGTCTGTATTTATTACCTTGTTTTGTTTGTTCATTTGTTGCTGTTTTAAAAATACCCCATATGAGTGAAATCACGGGATGCTTGCCTATTCTACCTGACTTGTTTCACTTAGCATGATACGCTCAAGACCCACAAGATGGACTACAGACTTACACATAAGACCTGGAACAATACAGAACATAGAAAAACACAGGCGCTAAACTCATGGGCCTTGGTCTGAGAGGTTTTTGGAAACTTGACCCCAATGGCAAGGGAAGTAAAAGGAAATGAGTGGGGTTACTTCAAGCTAAAAAGCACCTGCACAGCAAAGACACAAGAAACAGACAGGCAAAAACATCAACAAAACAAGAAGGCAACCAACCCAATGGGAGGAGACATTTGCAAACGATAAGCTCTGATAGGGGCTAATGTCCAAACTATATAAAGAACTCGTCCAGCTCAGCAACAACAAAGTCCAATTTAGAAGTGGGCAGGGGACCTAAAGAGATACTTTTCCAAGGAAAACCTACAGATGGTCCACAGAGAGGAGAGAAGATGCTCAACACCCCTAGTTATCAGGAGACGAGATCAAGCCAGGGAGACGCCACCTCACTCCTGTAGGCACGGCCGCTCCCAGTAAGACAGGGAGGGAGTGCGGCGAGGGCGGGAGCAATGGGGACCCTCGCGCACCGCGGGGGGAACGCAAGCTGGCGCAGCCACGGTGGAAAACAGCACGGAGGTTCCTCAGAGTTAAGAACAGGCCTGCCACACAACCCAGCACCCCTCTTCTGGGAATCTACCTGAGGATTCTGAAAACACTTATTGTAAAGTTATATGTACCCCTAGGTTCACTGCAGCATCCTTCACAGCAGCCACGCCACTTACTGAAGAGACTTGCCTTTGTCTGTGGTGTATTTTTTGCTTCTTTGTTGAAAATCAGTTGCCCTATGATTCCATCAGAGCTATAGTCTGACTCAATTATTTGTAATTGAGCTTTATCGAGATAAAGGGTATATTATCGATACATTAAAATGCTGCAATACGCTTCTGTGAAAAAAGGGGAAATGGCCATTGCCTGCCAGGTCTTTTCTAAAATGATCATATATAATAAGGTTGGTTTGGTACCAAATGACGCTCACAAAGGAAGGCAGGAAAGTAGGAGAGTAACAGGGAAAAGCATATGCGGTAGCTCAACAGGCGACTCAGCAGAGAACGAATCCTATCACCATGACACAACCATCGCACTTAAAGTGTACCATGCACTCTTACTTGAAAACCACCTGTTACATGTCAAGAACAGGTAATTTCAGCGTACATCACAACTTATTTTTAAAAGATTTTCTAACACAAAAAATTGAGTGCAAAAGATGTTAGTTTGTTTAAACTGTTAAATATAAATGTCAAAGTGCACACAAATCAAAATTTCTCCAGGCAAAAGTAAGGTTAACAAAACAGACTGACATCACCTTGACCTAACAATATGATTTCATATTGTAAGTAGATTAAGGCTCTACTCTGGAACGTCTTTGGTGAATGTATTAAGGAAGCTTAGACCTGCTGGGCCAGGAGCAAGCACTGTGCAGAGGCCACAAGCATGGTCAACCCAGGCGGGAGGGAGCTCGGATTAGTGCACAGCCAGCGGGAGGAGCTGTGACGGCTCCTACGGGCTAATGAAGGAAGATTCACCGAGAGTCTGTGTCTGTCTCTGCGTGTTAAGCCCAGAGACACAGGGCTTTCAGGAAGGATAAAACAGAATGAAGGACACGAGCATCGGATGCAGGTGTATACAGTACACACAGGCAGCATTTGGTCATCCTGACTGCCCTGTAACTCTGAGCAAACCACTTCGACAGCAGCACCAAGCAAGGCCAACCCCCCCCAACACACCCGCATACGGCAGTTTCGTTTCATTAACACATGCTTGTAATTTTAAAATTGCACTCTCAACATTTATATTCTATTAAAAGAATAAATGATTGGCATACATTCAACAAGAAAACCCAGTAAATCAAATTTGTTATGAAAAGTCAATAACTCTACTACATATAAGTTTAAAGTTAATTGTTAAATATTCTGATTTAAAAATTGCAATGATTTGTGTAGACCAATTTAACAAGACCTGAATACTTGGAATCCACCTCATAAAATGAAACACTCTCTAGCTACCATGGTTAATGTGCACACGCATACTTGTCAGGTTTGGGTTTTGTTTCATTAGGCATGAGGCACATATACATGAGCCAAAAAAATACCACTTCAAAAGAAAGGCCTCAGGAGCCTCTGCTCAAGAAATCCTTCCTGCAGTAGTGGGACCCTGCCCACGGTGATCAACAGAACTGTTCTGGTGACAGAGACGCTTTCTGGTTTGTTTTTAAATATGTTTTTATTGATTTGAGAGAGAGAGGAAGGGAGACGGGGAGAGAAACATCGATCAGCTGCCTCCTGCACACCCCCTCCTGGAGATCGAGCCTGCAACCCGGGCGTGTGCCTCTGACGGAAACAGAGCTGGCGACCTCTGGGAACACCAGGCGATCCTCAACCACTGAGCCACAGCAGCCAGGGCAGTGACGGAGAGTTTTAAAAACTCTCATTCAAAGCAGCACATTGCCATGAATTATTTTTCTGTACCTATTAGGTTGATGGTAACGATTCTAAAGGTGTGAAAATAATCCCGAGCTGTGTGACCCACGGACTCCAAGGTAACTCGGGACGCTGCTGCAGCGCGAGTGCGTGAGGGCAGAGCCCTCTCCCTCCATCTCCCTCACCCCAGTGCCGCCTGGGGGCGCTGTGCTCTAGTTTAGCATCGACCTTGGTATAAGGAGGCTTTTTAGAAAGTTAATATCAGTATCTGTGGAGGCTAGAAAAAATAGCAAAACAGGAGTGCTGAGGAAAAAACAGTTGACCACAAAAGACTCAAAACACAAAAGCAAGCTGTAGTTAACCTCACTGGAAAACACAGCTCACTCTTCAGATACGTGAGAAACGCGACCGGGCCCGAGCAGACCGGCGAGGCTCAGCACCACGTTCTAAGGGCAACATTTTAAAACCAAAAGTATTCAACAACCACAAGGAACATGATGCTATTCTGTTAACTTTTAACTGTACTCTGAAATTTCAATATCATCACAATATCGTATTTCTGTGAACATATCTCAATTTAGTTGCAGTTATTGTTTGGGAAAAGGTTTCCCCGAGTTGAAGTCAGGCACAAGGGCTCCCCAACGTGCAGCGCATGTGACCTCTCGCTACGTTACGCTTCGGGCAGGGCGCCCGAGCCTTGCTGAAGGACACTGACCCGCGCCCGGCCTTACCCACGGCGTCGGTAACTTTCTCATCCAAGTCGGCTCCTGAACAACGAGAGACAACTTGATTGGGTGAAGCATTCGTTTGAAAACATGGTACACGTTCTAAAACAGTGGTGGAAATAAAAACGACCTACGTTGAGTCCCATCTTTTTTTACCTTTCACTTGGCCACTGACTGGGCCGTTCCTTCCCATCCCTTCACTGACGCAGTAACTTCCATCGAGGCCTGGAAGTAAAAGCAGCAGCACGTGGCAGCGGGAGGGACCCTGTTCTAACAGGGCCTCTGCCATTCTGGAGTCTTCACCATCACCCCGTGCTCCTTAGCCACTCCCTTGCGTTTCCAATGAGCCAGAGAAGGGATCTAGACGAAGCTGGCTGAGCTCAAGAAAGTGTCGTAGTGTCCCAACAGCCGCTGCCCGGCAGCCTCCCACCAGCGGACTTGGGGAGGGCAGGACTCCATGGGTGCCACTCGCTGCTGCCCCCGCCCCTGCCCCAGAAAAGAGCCTGGTAACACTCAGTGCCCTGCGGACCCGTGACCACCGCACGGCACTGGAGTACACACGGCTAAACCGCGCAAGGACAGAAGGGTAAGGAAACGCTCTATCAGTCCTTCCGGTGGAAAAGGCTTCTCCATGAAACCCAGCTGCCACCATCAGCAGGAGATGTTACGTAAAGATGGACCACAGTACTCATAAGAGCCACTCTGAAAGACCCTAACAAAGACCACTGAGGGGCCAGGTGGAGACAGGCCCTCCAGAGGGGTCCTCCCTGTCCTGGTCAGAGAACCATCTGAAGGCCACCACCTCCCAGGTAGAGCTGGACTGAAATAAAGCACCAAGTAAAAGTCCCCCGGAAAGATTTCACATTTCAAAGTATTTGGAGCACACGGATAACCAAGAAGTCCTCCTAAGTTCTAAGGAAACAAACCTACTGACACCTTTGTGGCCAGAAAAGCACCAGCAGAAAACAGGCTGAGCTCATCTAACCTGACCAGAGCATTTGCATCAAGACAAAGCCTTGTAAACATGAAGTAGTTTTAGTTTCTGAGTCTTTTGCTCCGCGCAAAGAACTTGGCCTTTGGGTTGGTAACAATAATAACTGTGAAGTATTCAAAGTACATAAGGCCGAGTTATCCTTAAATGAGACTGGGTGGCAGGCTTGCTGTTTCCAGGCGAGGAAGCTGGGCATCAGAGAGGTGAAGGGTTTGTCCAAGCAAAGCTCATCAGCAGGGTCCGTTTAACGTGAAAGACCAACTACATGACTGAGTCACAGCCAGTGTAGGCAGGAGCGGGAAAGGCGGTGTGGCAGTGGGGATGGGCTGAGAGTGGCCACGTGGGTCTCCCCACCTCTGGTGCTCCCCTCTGGTGCGACAGCTGACTCACAGACCACATTCCGAGTGTCCCTCTCTGCCGTGGGGCAGGACTTGGCCATGGTGCTCGGTTCTCAGGGGGTGCTCAGGGGTGAGGCAAGTCCACAGCAGGGGCCAGAGTTCTTTTTTTCCTGGTTTTATAAGCTGGATCCTAACTAAGATCTCACTTCTAAAAGGCTTCTCTGCCCTACAAGTCTGAGAAACACGGGTCCTTCCCAGCTCTCATACTCTAGGGAGCATATCTTGGGTCCAGTGTTATTTTTCCCAGTTTTATAAGATTTGGCATATATTTTCTCTACTATGAAATTATGGGGGAAAGCTAGCATGGAGGCCTGTATTTTACAACCCACCTCTGTGAAACACGTGGACATGTCTGTAATTCATCTGCTAAGTCCTTGGCTGGCCTTCACAAGATACAATCATCACAGTGTCCCTCAGTGTGATGAGAAAACCCAACTGCTTTCATAAGGATCACCTTATAAGGTTTGTCAGAACTGCCTCCTGGTAAAAAAAGATGGGACCATCTATGCTAAAGAGATTCTAGTTGGTTAACTCTTTACGGTCTGGCTTTTTTGGTGTTTGTCTGTAATGACAATTTGTCAGAAACTGTGTGGCTCCTGCCTTATCCCCAAGCAGTTCTTGTCATCAAGTGTCCCGTCTAAGGGAAGCTGGATGAGCAGAGCTGGGCTCAATCAGCAGCCCTGCTATGCCGGGAGCACCCAGAGTTTCCTCCTACAGGACTGGGAGCCCCGTGAGCCATGAGGCTAATAACTTTCACATTAACAGTCCTGCTGGTTCATCCGTAAAGATCCCAGACGATGTCCCACAGACAGACACCTCCCCACATTTCCACCACTGCTTTTCATTGAGCTGTAAGCTAAGTGTCTACTTTACTATCTTCTACAAAACAAACTTCGCAGGCTACTGCCATTATTAATGTCTCAAAAGCAAAGGGAGCTCGGTGAGTATCTGTTATTCAGTAAGCAGGTCACAAATCATCTTAGCCAACTGCAAGGTTATTTCTCTCAACAGAGGCACTCGTGTGTTCAGAACATCTCTGTGCTACTGGGCTTCTTTCTGAACACACTCAGGAGCTGCGTTAGTTTCCTTCCCCAGAAACTCATTTCAAACCTTCAGTTCTCCCTCACAGGCCCTGGAAGAAACTGCAGACACGTGTTAACTGTGCGTGTCTGCCCACATCCTCACGCACGGGGACAGCCGCTATCCCTGCTTGTCTGTGTCCTGCACAGCCACTCTCCCCAGCACCTGACCTTCGGTTTGCTGAGGAGTGTAGCTCCGAGAACAGCACTGAGCACGTGGGTCTGTGTGAAAGGCTGACTGAGCTGACAGTCACTCCTGCGCAAAGTAAGGGACTGGGAGACCCCACCAGCACCCACGTGGAGTGATCAGTGTTTCCTGCGTCTCTCACTCGAGGATAATTGATGTCACTCCAACGCTTGAGCTAAAATGTTAATGATTTAAAAAGAATCATCCACCCCTCAATGAAAACACCAAGATGGTTCTCTTTCTCTCTCTTACTGACATTAATTCAAAATTAAAGTTAATAAACTTTTTAAAATTGTCTGTTTAAGACAATGTGCATGTTTAAGTGAAGACATCATGGACAGATGCAGGATGTCATGCTCTATCTATCACATTAGGCCCAGCTGCTATGGACAGTTCAGCAGAGCTTCAGACTAAAGTGAGCATGTCTGCATGAGCATAACAGTCTGTAAGTAAACCAGCAGAAGGAAAGGAAGATTTTAAGGCTCACACATTAAACGTATTTCTTGTTAAGTATAAAGTCTCAAATGATAAATGTACAAAGCGACTTCCTACACACATTTGCTTGTTTTTGTTTAAACCCACTTCAAGGTGTTGGGGGAAAGGGAGTTAAATAGTCCCCTTCACATGCTGACCTAGCTCTGTGTTTTCCTGGAAACTTCAGTGTAATAAATATGCAGGTGAAAAGACAGCACCCCATTTACACTCAGGCTCAGAAGCCGTGGACACCTAGAGAGGAGTGTGTCACAAAGACCCATTTCTGGTGTCCACCATCTAGCTCACACGTCTTGTAGTCTCCAGGGTATAGAACTATTATGAAATATATTCTAACTAAACGCAGGCGTAAGGAAACCAGGCAGTGGTGAAAGAGAGCTCACCACCAAGGAGCAACCACCACCCACTGGCCGCTCCAGAGGCCTCCTTCCTTACTGGACAATTAAGAACCCCATCCCACGTCTGAAAAGGGAAAAGCAGGAGGAATCAAGGGTGCACAGTAGCCTCTTAATTAATCCACGGACACAGTGATTAGTAGCCAGCTACTTGGCACGGCTGCCACCACAGAGGCGGTTAGTGACTGCTGCCGCCACAGCCGGGCGTTACTGCGGCAGAAGCGAGCGGTGCTGGAGCCACACCACAGACCACGCGTTACCCTCGAGGAGGCTGTGGGTGAAGGGAGCCCCTCAGCAGCGTCCTCCTTGATAACCTCCTAACAACACAGAACAAGAGTGTGTGAAAGGCGAGGGGTGAGCCACACCGGATGATGAATGAACATGATGTGAAAATAACAACATAAACACCGAAACCTGGAGGGGTGAGGTTTCTCCTTTAGCGACACGTTAAAATTTACATAGAAGGTTAAGTCCTATATCTTTTGCCTCCTGATTTATAAAAGTATATTAACGAGGACTTTCTTTTTGTTCATTATTAAGCAAACCTGATCATCAGGACACCCAATATGTTAGGCATAGACGTGCTGTTCTGGATTAGATTCAATAGTACATCTGAATAATTTCTTTGTCCTATTTAATTTCTGTCATTAGCTTAAAAATGTTCTTTCAACAGATCATTTTTATATAATAGGGCTAACATATATACAGATACCATATGTGCATGTCCTTTAAAAAGATATTAGAAATCAGCAGATGTAAAGCCTGGTGTTAAACGTCTGGTAACAAACGCTGGCTATAAACAACTCAACACGTATGCGCTGAGGCTGCCAGCCACCTCCTTCCATAGGTATAGACAGAAATGAAAACAAAATACACTTTATTTTAGTAATAGCTTATGTTTCCTAAAGCTGTTTATAAAATAAGTTGCATTCTTTTACTACAGAAAGGAAACGAGCAAACGCTAATGTTCTAGATGTTTCTTATTCAGTTAATACTTTAGTTACCCTTTTTTATACTTACTAGGCCATTGCTTTGATCTCTGGGCAAATTCGATTTTACTGGTGGACGTGAGATGAGATGTTGGGAACCGCCAGGGTAATACCTTGGCGAGTAAAGGTATGGGGCAAAGAATGGCTATGGAAAAAACATGCAACAAAAGACGGGGTAAACAATTACAGAATCAAAGTGTAATGAGATTCAGCAAACGAAACTAACCAACAAAATACAGCTCCAGAGTGTAATGTGACAAAAAAAAAACAAAAAAGCTTTCTCATATCCTGTAAGATATTGAACCCAAACATGATGCAGTATTTAATATATTGGTTTACTAAAAGCTTTCTTTTCTAAGCAAAGTTTTACCCCTTATAATTTGACACAAGGGTTTCTCTTAAACAATTTTTGGGCTAATTACCATGTGCCAGGTTTTAAGTGATTTATAAATATTAACAAATCTCTTTTTTAAAAAGGTAGAATGGATTCTTAATAGAAAACTATTCTTTACAATAAAAAGATTAGCCTTACGACCAAAAAAGTCTCGATATGTGAAAACAGCCTCCCATGGACTCCAGGAGTATCTGCTACGCTAAGTTCCTAGATTACACTGTCTCTAAATAAGCAAGCGTATTTTCAAACGGGGAGCCCATTGTCTGGGTAAGATTTATAACTATAGCATTTACTTGTAACAAGCTTCTTATTAACAGGAGCTATCAGATTATATGGGCTCAATGCAAAGATTAAAACTCCCCAGGCTCATTACACCGAAGCAACACCTTTTCCACTCCTGCCATTGGAGGAAAATTACTTTGCTTTTACTTTCAAATAACTAGAACAAAAAATTACTAGACCTAAAAACATGAGAAAATTTTAAATGTTTAAAAATAACAAAATGTGATTAAAGTACCACATGATTGTTATTCATGTAAAATTAGTGAACACAAGGTCTCAGCCTAGGTGGTTTGGTAATTTTTAAAAAACAAACTTCACAGTCTCCGAAGTTCAACTGCCATCTAATGACCAATGGAGTCATTTTAATTAATTACAGCGGGTTTTAGGACTGGTAAATAAGGTCTGCATCTCACGTTGCCGACCCACATTGAAGGGACGGCTGGAACACACTGTAAAGTGCAATGCTCCGGCCCATCCCTCGTCTGGGTGGAAGACGGCACCACACTCTGAGGGCTCTGAGGTGGTGCCACTAATTAATGACATGGCCAACCTCTTTCAAAACCGAAAACTTAATTTAAATTCTGGATTCCTTCTTTGCCACACTGGTTCTAAACTCTCTTCCTCTCTCACGTGGAGTCGAGGTTGGCATGCACCTGGCTTCGAGAATACCAGCCCTTGTTTTCTCCAATTAGACTAAAGAGGGAGACAACAAAAATAAGGAACTGCAACGGGCCGAAGTCAGGCCCCGAACTGGGACTAGGGCTTGCGCTCTCCTCCCTGACAGGAAATCCTGGGTTACTGACCGCTGCGGTGAGGGCTGGGCAGCCTGGGCCTGCTGAACCTGACACAGTCCAAATGCCCTGATGTTACCTGTGCTTCCATCTTTTCAAGCAGAAAACTGCCACACTCACACTAAGTCAGCAATTACACGTGACCAGAGGTGATGTGAAATAGGACTCTAGAACTGGGCTACAGGGCTGTTATTTGGCAATAACATCTGAGTCCCACAAGCAGTACTTTCCATTGTTATCTCACATTTAAAAGCTATGCTACATACTAATTATAGGTTTACTGAACTGCAGAAATTTATGTTTATCATTTTAAATGCCAATGTAAATTATTATACAAGATGTAACAAATCAAACTTTTGTTTATCAACAAATAGACATGCAGATCCCTCTGAAGCACTGGAGTGTCACTTTCTTATCAAGATAATAAATTTTAAAAAAAGCATCACTAGTACTCAGATTCAACTGATATCTAGAACCCACTAGGATTCAAAATTTTTTTGATTTTTAAAATATCATAGAATTAAATTCAAATTTAACTTTTTCCCTATTTTCAAGCTAAAGCACAGTTTGTAAGTAATAACAGAATCCCTAAGCAGGAAACGCCTGACACTGCCCCGGAACACTCCTTACCCGGTTGTAGAAGGGGTGCTGGGGCCCTGTCATGCCACTGTAGTAGCTGCTGTGAGGCTGGGGGGACACAACCCCGCCCGCGAAGGGCCCATTGAAGGACGTAGAAGAGGAGCACACAGACGGAGCCTGGCTGTAGCCGGATGGGGGCCTCGGGGGAGCTTCATGTAAAGGAAGTGGGGGATACGCAAGTCCTCCTATGTTGATCTGGTCTCTTGCAGCACGAACATCTGAAAGATGAAATGATGCCCCAGAAGGCAAGAGAAAACAGGACATTAGTAATCAGTCCCATTACCACTGCCTTTAGTTACCAGGTAGAGAGAGGAGTCGTCACTCCTGCCAGGGATCCGTCCCGACTGGATGAAAGGAGGGGATGGGACTCCTGACGACTGAGTCCAGTGAGAGGAGCCCGGCTGCTTTGCATAAGTGCTTCTCTCACCATTTGAAAGGTCGTCAGCATCTGGGTTCCTCCCTTCAGTCACCAGAACCATTCATTTCTCCCTGATTCTGTATGGCATTGGTTTGTGCTGCTCTAACAATCTGTACGTTTCATAAAGTGTTAGCAGCTACCATAACTCACACCTGCCAGGTGTTAATGAACACAATGCCAGCTGAAGCTGTGGGCTGGCAAATATGTGCCGCATCCACCTCTGAACATCAGCCCTAGAGCCGGATTTAGAGAGAGAATGTGGGAGTCCCAGGCTCTCCTCATAGTTCCTGGGAACTCAAAGGCGGGCCAGCAGGGCCAGTGTCACACAACACAGTGCGTTCCCATGATGGCTGTGTGTGCATGTGGACCCAGTGGTGCCTCAAAACAACTTATTCGCAAAACTCCCCATCACTACCCTCAAGTTCCAGTCCACAAACTCAGGTTAAAATTTAAAAGTGATACGAAGATGTCCTTCCCTCTCTGGGTCAAGATCCCCATTTGGAAGGGAAGGCTGGGGACAGAAAAAGCACAATGGACTGGTATCTTACAGTGGTGACTAAATGTGAAAAGGAATCTAATTCCTAAGTAAGGACTCAGGTGTGCAGGTGGGAAATATAACAAGTGAGTTTAACAAACAGCATTTTCTTCACATTCCCAACGTCGAGACCCTCGATCACTAGTCCCCTGTATAGAGCCTTGTCAATATTTCTTGGCCTCATGGAGCAGGAGAAACTTATGTAGCTAAGTTAAAATTAGGAAAATCTTTGAGAGCTCCAGAGAAGAAAAATTAAATTTACACTAATCCCCACCTGCAATAATCTCCCGCAGCTTGGGGTCCAGGTTTACAGTGCACGGCAGGAAGGTTTTCACATCTCGAGCCACGAGAACTGGGGTCCGTGAAGATAAAAACACTTCAAAGTTTCTTATATCTCCATCAATTTCAAGCAGTGGCTCCACGTCTTTCGTTGTTGGAATATTCTTAGATATTCTTCAACAAGAAAGAAATGGGAAAGGTCATTAATGTCACTATTACAAAGACAAATTCTACATATAACTTAAAATTTGTTATTTATAAAAATAAAGAATACGTTATATACTTTGCTGTCATTAAAAATTTTTAAAGAAAAAAAACAGGTGGTATAGTTACAAAATTAGTAAAGTAACAAGTGAGGTCAGAATTATGTTGCCTTTGACCAGAGGCAGGACTTGGGCAGAGGAGGAAACATGCACCAGGTGCCGCACGACTGAGTGACCGACCACCTGTCGGCACGAGGAGGGAGCGGCCCCTTCCGATGAGGACAGCGGCTCCCAGACACTTGAACAGCCAGCCGCCAGAGCCACAGACCTGGAAAGAGAACCTGGCTGGCTCTAAAATCCAAGCTTATTACCGTGTGCCGTGGGTCTTGCCTTTGCAAAGAAAAGAAGAACTAAAGAATAATTTTTAATAAATTACACAAACTAGAAAGTTAACACAGGTTTAATCTATTTTAAAAAGGTTTATTTTCTATTGTAAAGGAAGTATGTACTTACTACACAAGCATATTTATGAGGCAGCGGAATACAGAAAAGTAGAGGGGAAAACATAATTTCACTAAGCGGACACAGTAACTACTAATAATACAGTGTGTCACCTAGTGTTCACATATTAAAATGTTTATTATGCAGAATTTTTGCATAGTTGAGTTTACATATGTAAACAATTTTGTATCAGGCAGAGATCTTAATTATAAAAAGTAATAGTCATTTAAAAATACTTAGTAAACACTTGTTTGACAAACTATATAAAACTGCCATCTTTATAGGTCTAAATGGTCAATCCTGACAATTCCATATGGTCCGACCTACCGCGTCGAGGCCACGTGCCAACCTGAGGTGATAAATAAAAATGCATCAGAGAGAGAGAAAAAACGAGAGGAAAAACAAGAAAGACGGCTTAGGAGACAAGGAGGCAAAAGAGAAAACGAGGTGGCCACGTCCACCGGCAGGGGAAGAGATAACAACCATGGCACATCCATGGGATGGAAAAGCACTCGGCAAAAAAGGGGTAAACTTATTTACACTCGCATCAGTATGAATTCCACAGTAAACTGCACGGGGGGAAGAACACCGCCAATAAGGAGGGACAGCTGACTGTCTCCGTGACACAAAACTAGAAAAAACCGTCACAATGACGGAAAGCAAAGGGGCTCCCTGTGAAGTCGGGGGTGCAGGTGGGAGAAAGGAGACAGGAAGGGATTCCCAAGGAACAGGAGGAACTCAGTAAGTGACAGCCATGCCCACGCTCCTGACGGTGGTGACGACTTCGGGGTAAATACACACATACATGAAAACCGTGGAACTGCACCGTTTTAACAGGGCAGCTTATCGTACGCCAGTTACAGCTCACACCGCTGTTTAAGACTCACTGTGAATTTGGACATATCTTCGAAACACTCAGCTCCCAATTAGTCGAGAATATTACCTGTCAGATTGTACTCAGCACAGTTTCAGAGCAGTAAGTTTTCAAGCCCTTCAAAAAGTGAAATGGGATCCTACTCTAATATTAGTTATAGTTATGTTATTTCTTTGGGATTAGCACTTTACTGTTACAACCCAATATTTGGTTAGTAGCCAAATATTAAAAGCTAAAAGGGAAAATCCAGAGAACATTAGCAAACAAGACAAGACCAGGGTACTCTGAGCATCCAAGGATACGATGCTGTCTTGGTAAATTTCAGGACGTCCCAGTTAGGGACTCAGGCACACGCCAAGGGTAGGAAAGCCCTCTGAAATGGGGCGGCCTCTAAATAAAAAGGCGTTCAAGCTGCTTAAGTACACTTAAAACAAAGTGGAGAACTTGGAGAATGGCCGCACAGGATCATGTGCAGAAGTGGCCAAAACTCAGCACTTACACAGTAAATTAGTGTGTCTATTTCAGGAGCTTAACACCAAGTGCTCAGAAGAGCAGCTGGAGAGACATAGATGAGCGTACAGCTGACAAGTCAGTCACATGGAACAAGTGCACTGAATTCTAACACCGGCCTGGTCAGCCTAAGTGTGAGCAGTGTCTGGGTGGGGACAACGCGGCCGTTCCCAAGCCAGCGGGTGGCTGCTGCTGTCCAGACTGAGCGTCCAGCCCTCGCTCGAGCTCCATACAGGAAACTCTTCCACTGAGAGCATTTATGTAAATGATAATCTTTTGGCCGTGGGCCACCGAAATCATATGTGCCTTTATTTTTTTTCAGATACATTTCCAAAGATTAGCATTTAAAGAACTTAAGCAACTTCACTCTTCAATTAAGGGTGAATTTAAACTACCAGCATATGAATCATGTGAGCTGAAGCTGCCAGCAGTTAAAAGGGTCCACAGAAGGCTTTGTAAAGCCCGGGCATCCACAGGCTCCCGGTAAGTCTAGAAGCAGCTTCTTCCCATGCTACCAACCAGCAGCACTATTAGTGCCAACACCGGGGCAAGGTAAAAGCATTTTGATTATAAATGACAGTGGTTATGGAACGTCCATATTAACCCCGTGGCAGGAATTAGATGAGCCATTCATATTACTTCCATTCAAAATGAGGTTTTAAATTATATGGAAAAAAATCTATTTTAAGTCCAAATATAAACAGGTTCTAAGAGCATAATTTATGGAGATAGCATTATTTATCAGGCTTTATCTAAAAGTAGCTGCCTAATAATGTCATCATTTAATCATGAGAGGTTAAGAATTAAGATAAATTTTCTTTAAAATTTTACACGAAAACTCTTAACCGCCTCAGCATTTTAGTACCTTGAAGTGAACTTAACTCCTAGTGGACTTTTAGACACTTCCTATCAGTAATACCCGGTTGTCACTACTCTGCACAGAGCCCTTCTGAGGCCTGGGAGACAGATGGGACAGGCAGAAAACAGCCACTCAGCACTGTTACCGGAGGGTCAGGAACAAAAGATAAACACCATCCTTGTTAAGTCCACTACTATCTGTGGAAAGACAACCAGATTCTAGCCAGGAGCTAACTGCGCCGCCCCCCTGCGTTAACCCGGTTAACCCCTGCGCACCCTCCAGCTCAGCTCCACCCCGCCCCCTGCGGGAAGTCCTCCCTGAGACCGGGTGGTCCTCCCTAGTGAAGCCCTCACAGCACCCATGCTTTCCGGCAACGGCACAGCACCACTGGAGTGCTACACTCATTAGCAGGATTATTTCATTAATGTCTATCTCCCCCTCTAGATGGCAAATTCCATTCATTCCATTAGAGCTGGGAACAAGCGTGGTTTTGTTCACCGCTGTCTCTCCAGTGCCCAGAGCAGAATACTGTCTTATTACTTTTGCCTAATAAATATTTGTAGAGTTAATAAACTACACAAGAAAGTGTATTGTTCCCGATAACTCTGTCCCCCTAAAATAATCTCCACTTCGATTCTGTCTCACGTAGAACCAACCTTGTGCTTGGGAAAGCGCAGGGTGGCCCTGCTCAGGTCATCTTTGTGCGTGATGTGAAACGGGCCCAGCTCCACCCTCTCGCATGTGGAGGCCCAGCTGCCCCAGCACATCTGTTGAAGGGACTATCCCCCCCAATGGACTTGCACCGTCAGCGCTCCACCAGCTGCAGACGCACGGGTTACCCCGACTCCCACGCCTCCCCCGCTGGCCTATGTCCTCTTGCCCTGCACGACGCTTTGAGTGCCGTGGCTCTGCAGTAACTCAATGTGAGAGTTCTCCAATTTATTCTTTTTTGAGGTTGTTTTGACTATTTGGGGTCCCTTGCAATTTACATGAACTTGAAGATCGGGTTTCTGCTTCTGCAAAAAAAGGCTATTGGAATTCTACAGGGACTGCTCTGAACCTGCAGGACACTATGGGTGACAGTGACATCCTACTGCTTAGTCTTCCCATCCACGAGCACAGGAAACCATTCCACTCACTCCGATCTTTACCTTACCAACCTGCGGTGTGCAGTGTACAAATGTCTGACCATGCTGGTTAAATGTTGCCTGTGGGCTCTGGGGTTCCATGTGCAGGGCCGCGTCGCTCTCTACTAAAGATGGTTTACTTTGTCTTTTCCACACTGGGTCCTTTTATTCGTTTCCTACCTAACTGCGCTGGCTGGGACTTCCAGTGGGACATGGAAAAGCAGTGGTGAAAGCGGGTGTCCTAGGCAACCTGGGCTGCTGCAACAAGAGACCAGGCCCGGTGGCGCAAGCAACAGCTCCTTCTCCAGTTCTGGGGAGTCTGGATGTTCGACATCAGGGAGCCAGCTGGTCAGGGTCTGACGAGACCCCTTCCTAGTGTGCCGTTTGCGCTCACTCCTTTCCACGAGGACGAAGTTCATCATGAGGACTCCAACCCAAGACCTTGTCTAAACCTCCCCACCTCCAACACCATCACCATGGGGGTGGGGTTTCAATTTTTGAATTTTGGGGAACTCATTCAAGGAAGACAAGGTACCCCTGTCTTGTCCCTGTCTTTGGGGGGACACTTAAGTCTTTCGCCTTGGGGATGACAGCAGCTGTAGGTCCCGTCCAGCCCTGGTTCCTGAGTGTCTTGACCATGGAAGGGTGCTGAGCTTATCGGATACCTTTTCTGTACTCCTCGAGTATTCTCTTGCAATCTTTTTTATTTCTGTAAGATGATGGTAATGTCCACAGTTTCTGACTTTAGTGATTTGTGGCTTTCTCTTTTTGACAGTTTAGTAAGTTTTGTCAACTTTGCTTAACTTTGCAAAGAAACCCCCTTTGGTTTCACCGATTTTCATTATTGTTATTCTGTTCTCTATTTTATTTACCTCTGCTCTAATCTTTGTTAATTCCTTCCTTCTGCTAGCTTTGGAATTTTTTAATTTGCTCTTCTTTCCCTAGTTCTTCAAAGGTGTAGGGTTTGGTTATTAAGACACTTCTTCTCTACTGTAGGTATTTAGTCATAAGTTTCCCTCTGAGTGCTGTCTCTGCTGCATCCCATCAGTTTTAATCACCCCTAAGTTCTTATAAAAGTACCTTGATAACGATTCCATGAG